AGGACTGTAAAAGAGGAAGAAGATGAAGATAAACTTGACCAGCTCGTTAATATGATGAAAAGCATGACATACAAGAAAACGAAGACCATAAGATGCTGGAATTGTGGCGAAATAGGACACGTACAAAGTGCATGTAAGCATCCTAGGTACGACACAAATCAAGAAACTCACCATCAGGAAAACTAGAACGGGTCGGCCTTAGGGGGGCAGCTTCGACCCAGAACTTTTCCAAAGACCCTCTGATACTAATAGCTTCTTTGAAATGTCGTGAAGATAGTGTATATGTAGATGGAGAAATAAATGGTAAAAAGCATACGTTGTTAGTGGATACGGGAGCGACCAGAAGCATTATTCGCCCGACAGTTATAAACAGCAATAAGAAACTGTTACCAACGAGGTTGCGACTGCGGACCGCTACAGGTGAAAATGCCAACATTCATGGAGAAATCCAGGTACAATTAGGAATTGGAACAGAAAAGTTCGTCCATACTGTTATAGTTGCTGACATCGAAGAGGATGTTATATTAGGAATGGACGTAATGAATACGCATGGATTCCAATTGGATTTTAAGAATAAGGTAATCAAAGTTGGTAACGAGGAGGTATTTCTCCATCCACATGATGACAACACTATGCAAGCAGCCGTTAAAGAAGATACAGTCGTGCCTGCGAGAAGTGAAACGATAATAGTAGCGCGGCTACAGGGAATTGTGGCGAAGGAACACCTGTTATGATGGAGCCTTGGAATCATGACGACGAAGTTGGCCGTGGAATCATAATTGGAAAAGAATTAGTGACTTCGGCTAAAGAAATTCCTGTGAGACTTATTAATGTCAATGACTACCCAGTGACCATCAAGAAAGAGACAAAAGTAGGAACTTGTGTACCTGTCACATCCATAATCCGTCAGACGACAACGTCTGATAATTCCAACGATAAATTTGATCAAATGGTTGCGGTTGCTGGACAGTCTCTGAATCAGATTGAGAAAAGGAAATTAAGGGAATTTCTTCGGCAGTATCGTGATATTTTCGTACCGAAAGGAGGAAAGACGGGAAGAACTACCGTTGTTAAGCATAAAATTGATACTGGTAATGCTAAGCCAATTCGTCAAACAGCTCGACGATTACCACAGGCGAAAAGAGAGGAAGCTGAAACGATTGTTCAGGAAATGAAGAAAGACGGGGTGATAGAACCTTCTACGAGCCCATGGGTCTCTCCGGTGGTCCTGGTTAAGAAGAAAGACGGAACAACGAGGTTCTGTGTGGATTACCGTTTGCTGAACAACGTTACCAAGAAAGATAGTTATCCTCTGCCTCGGATTGATGACACATTAGACACATTGGCTGGAAGTAAATTATTTTCTACTTTGGACTTGAAGTCTGGATACTGGCAGGTAGAAATGGACCCGGTAGATAAAGAAAAGACAGCCTTCACCACAGGATCTGGATTATGGCAATTCAACGTTATGCCATTTGGACTTTGTAACGCTCCTGCGACATTTGAGAGGCTTATGGAAAATGTGTTGAGAGGGTTATCTTGGAAAACATGCCTAGTTTATCTAGACGACATAATCGTCTTGGGGAAGACATTTGAAGACCATCTGAAGAATTTAGAAAACGTTCTTAATCGACTTAAAGCTGCCCAATTGATGTTAAACCCCAAGAAGTGCCAGCTATTTCAAGGTAAAGTCAATTATCTGGGTCATATAGTCAGTAAAGAAGGAGTGGCCGTGGATAAGGGAAAAATCGATTCTATTAAGGAATGGCCAAAACCAACTGACAAACATCAAGTGAGAAGTTTTCTGGGACTGTGTACTTACTACCGGAGGTTTATTAAGAAGTTTGCAGATATCGCTAAACCATTAACGCGACTTACAGAGGAAGCAAGAGAATACCGCTGGGATGTAGACTGCCAGAATGCCTTTGAAACCTTAAAAAAGCATTTAATCACAGCACCAATTTTAGGGTATCCACTGCCAGAAGGAGAGTTCATCTTAGATACAGATGCAAGTAATGTGGGAATTGGAGGAGTGCTGTCTCAGATTCAAGGAGGACAGGAAAGAGTCCTTGGATATTTTAGTAAAGTCCTCTCAAAACCTGAGCGAAATTATTGCGTCACGAGAAGAGAACTTCTGGCAGTAGTGAAATCAGTAGAGCACTTCTATCAATACCTCTATGGAAGGAAGTTTCTAATCCGAACCGACCATGCCGCCCTTAAGTGGTTGATGCAGTTTAAGAATCCAGAGGGTCAGATAGCCAGGTGGATCGAACGACTCCAAGAATATGATTTTAAGATTGAGCACCGAGCCGGAGTTAGCCACCGAAACGCCGATTCTCTTTCCAGAAGGCCATGCCCAGCAGAGTGTTCTCACTGCAAATCCAAGGAAGCAGCAGTGCTAAGAACGACGGTGGTCCACGACGACTGGACGCCTACCAAGATCAGGGAAGAACAAGAGAGAGATCCAGTTATACAGAAAATCCGAAAATGGAAAGAGGAAAACCGTCGACCACCTTGGCAAGAAATATCGAACCTAGGCTCAATAGTTAAGACGTATTGGGCCCAGTGGGACTCATTTATCATGGAAGATGGCTTGCTCAAACGAGTCCTGGAAAATGATGACGGTTCAGAGAAGAGAACACAGTTGGTGATTCCAAAGAGCAGAATAGCCGAAGTACTTCGTCAGTTACACGACAGTCCATCAGGAGGGCATTTTGGTGTGAAAAAGACCCTTCAGCGAATTCGGGAACGGTTTTATTGGATGAACAGTTCCGACGATGTAAAAGACTGGTGTAAGAAATGTACTATTTGTGCTACGAGTAACGGGCCTTATCGAAAAAGGAGAGCTCCTATGAGACAATATAATGTTGGAAGCCCGTTTGAAAGAATAGCTTTGGACATTGCTGGGCCGTTTCCAGAAAGTGATAATGGAGGCAAGTACATGTTGGTAGTAATGGATTACTTCACTAAGTGGGTCGAGATTTACGCACTTCCAGACCAGAAAGCGGCCACCGTTGCAGATAAGTTGATCCAAGAATATATCAGCCGATTTGGAGTGCCTTTGGAGATCCATAGTGACCAAGGCAGGAACTTCGAAAGCGATTTATTCCAAGGAATATGTGATAGACTAGGTATGAAGAAAACAAGGACTACGGCTTATCATCCGCAATCGGATGGTATGGTAGAACGAATGAATAGAACAGTTGGCAAGTATTTGACAAAGATGGTGTCCGATCATCAGCGAGACTGGGACCAATATCTCCCGTTCTTCACAATGGCCTACAGATCTGCTGTTAATGAATCAACAGGCCAGACACCAGCCAAAGTCCTATTCGGACGCGAGATGCGACTACCTTGTGATCTAGAGTTTGGGTGTCGACCTGGAGAAGATGTAGCAGGTGAAGATTATGTGATCGAATTACGAAGAAGAATGGACGATGTACACGAGTTGGTCCGTTCCCATCTCCAGATCGCTAGTGACCGAATGAAGAAACGGTACGATACGCAAGCCGAAAAGGGGTGTTTTAAGAAGAACGATAAAGTCTGGCTTTATAACCCCAAAAAGCGAAAAGGTTGTTCTCCCAAATTGCAGCAGTTTTGGGAAGGTCCATACCTCATTATGGAGAAGATCAATGATGTTATTTACCGAATAAGCAAGATTCCGAGAGGAAAGCCGATGATAGTACACCATAACCGGCTGGCGTCTTTCGAGGGTGACCACGACGTAGATGAAGAAGTGGAAGTAAACCAAGTCCAAGATGTGTCTGACCTCACGTTTGAGGAATTCATGGGTGCCTATGGAGGTACCGGTAAAGCAAGACATGGTGTTACCACTGAAGAAAGGCAAGATCTACTCGCGCTTCCCGATGACTACTCACTGGCCCTTACCATCCCGGCCAGTATCAAAGATGCACCAGGGTTGGCATCCGTCTTTCGAAGGAAGTTTGGTCGAGTTGCAGAACTTCAATGCCAAGTGCCAGCTCCTGGTAAAACCTTGAAACTTCAAGATGCATCACGTTACCTTTTCTACCTGGTAACAAAAGACACTGCCCGTGACCAACCTACCTACCGAGATGTATGGGAAGCCTTACTTCAGTTGAGAGAGCACGTACTAGAGTCCGACGTGCAAAAGTTAGCCATGCCAAAGTTGGAGTGCCGCCAATTAGATTGGAGGGTTATACGAAACATGGTGGAGGAAATCTTTAAAGACACCGAAGTCCAGGTGTTAGTCTGTTGCAATCCGCATAGTTACTGCTGCGGAGAGAAAACCGTCCCTTGTCATTTCTATACAACTGGAAGTTGTAAAAGAGGGTCCAGTTGCCGATATCAGCATGTCGTTCCAGTTCCAGTCCCGACAAGGTTCCAGGAGGAACCATCTTTTAAGAGGGGGGCAATGTTACGATTTTAAATGTTATGGCATATAGAACTGTAAATATTTTATGACTAATTCTTTTTTATTGATTCTCGTAATTTGTAGGTCAAAATATACCTGAGCTTAGCTACCAGTTGTTTACCAGAAATCTCTAGACCCTAATTTTAGTGAGTCATCCACGTCTCGAGGTTGAAAAACGAGTCGAGCGCCTTCACCAAAATACGAGATTATTCAGGAAGTTGGCCGAAAGTTCCAGTATTTTCGACAATGGTCAGGTCAGGTCTAGGCGGTCTTACGGTTCTTTATATAAGAACGAAATTTTATTGAAGAGGTCAGTCATAAGAAGATCGGTAAACGCGGTACTTGTAACGAAACGAAAATAAATTATTTGTAATATAAATTAGAATTAATAAAGACTTTAATAAATTCGTAATTAGTTATCGTGAGTTTTAATAAATTAGAATATAGACAATAAATTAGAATAAAGACAAATAAATTAGAACTATATAAATATACAACAGTATCGTTAATATTATTAGCCTCCTACTGCATAATAAATAAAGGAAAATACCGCAACCGCAAGAGAGCGGACAAAATACGTGATACCTGATTAAATACTAAGCCTTACCTTTTTGCAGTAGTTGAGAATGTCCATTTTATCTTTGTAACACGTCGCTTTGGAATAGAGGTCGGAAACCCATTCTCCCTGCTCCGTCATGTACTTGGGATGGTAGGCCTCTTGTCCGTGCATCCCCGAATCGCACAACATGGCCACCTGTGGTTCGAAGTGGGAAACGGCTCCTCCACTACTGCTCCCCAGGCCTCCATTATCCTGCAGCCCCAAACCCTGCAACAACGGGAAATAATTATAAGTATGGTTAGAGAGAGACACAGTCTGAATAGAATTCAGAAGTGGCATGATTGTGGCGAGGTGTGGGATACTTCGATTACAAGTAGAATAAGGATGATTAGGGGGCTATTACGGTTAGAGATGTTTTCAGGGATACGAGGAAGTTTCTTATCAGGTAAAAGTTTCCTGGCGAAGATAGTTTCTAGTTATTATAGTCACGTTCGTGAGCTTAAATGAAAATCAACTACTTCGTATCAAATTTGGTTTATAATTGATTACGTTGGTTAACAAAAACTTGAAGAAGTATAGCAAACATCTGCATTTATATTAAACTATAGTGTAATAAATATTTTAAGCTATAACGATTATAATATATAAACTATATCCATACTATTATATATATATATATATATATATATATATATATATATATATATATATATAAAATAAAATGCCCCTTTTATTAACCAATAAAAGGGGCTATTGGTTAACTATTTTTTATCTCGAGCTTTTAATTTTGTTTACAATTATTATCAAAAGCTGCTAAAATGCTAAAAAATACAAAATATCTTGAACTAGAAAGAAAAAAAAAACTTTGTTAACTCACCAAATAAGTTATGGTTATAGTTATGGTTAATAAAATTGCTGCTAACATATTTCAAAAAAATTATTATAAAAATATTCTTATCTATTAAATATTTCACTGAAACTTTAATATAATTTTGAAAAAGTTTCTTAACACAAAAACAATTGAATTTATAATTAAGTTAGAATAGCGGCCACTTACAATTAAGCCTCAATGACATAAATTCCAACTTAAAATTTATTACTTTTGACAATTATATTGCCAAAAATAAAATTTCGTTTCAAAATTCTTTCTTGTTTAGTAACAATAAAGAAGAAGATTTATTCACCATTAGTAGATGCCTGAAAAAATGTAACAAATATATGGAAAATTAAATCAAAATGTGATATTTTACTGGTTTCATATATAAACTACAAAGAAATAATATAATTATAAATTTTGCTTAGACTTTTGATTTTCTGATCTTTTGTTTAAATTATTATCACTTTTGCTAATACAAACCATTTCCAAAAAAGTCCTTTTGAATTTATTACTTTCACTACACAAAATTTTAATGTTATCAAAATCCATAATATGGTCTTTGTCGATTACATGCTCTGCCAAAACACAAGATGGTGTCTTAATTGTGCAATTACTTTTGTGAGAAATAATGCGATTTGAAAGATTTCTTCCGGTCTCACCAACATACTCAGCTTCACACTGAGTACAACTTATGCTGTATACTACATTTGTTTTATCTAATTTGTTTATAGAATACTTAGTTTTAAAATATAAAGATGAAATAGTTTTGATGTTCTTTATTGCTATTTTTATATTGTCAATAACCTTTAGTTTTTGTATTAATTTAGGTGTTAATGATGGTATAAAAGGTAGCGAATGATAATAAATGTTCTGATTGTTGGATACAATGTTCTGAGATTTAGCAAAAAATGGGTATTAAGTTATTTATATTAACAATATTAGAAAAAAGCATCCTATGTAGCATATTTGGAGGATAAGAGTTTTTAATTAAAATATTTTTTAACAATTGAAGATCTTCTTGTAGATAATCTAAATGAGAAAAAAATTAAAAAAAAATATTCAAAACAGTTTTATTTAGGTGAAACATCAAGGCCATTAAATGTTAGAATAATTGAACATTAATCTTATATTAAAAATAGAGAATTTAATAGATCTTAAATATGTAAACACGCATGGGATAATGAACATAGGGTTCAATAGAATGATTCAAGTATGGTCCTAAAAGAAACGTATGGTAAAAAGAGAAAAATCAAAGAAGCGGCTCTAATTATGCTAAATGAGAGCAATTGTGTCCCAAATTCTTCAGCGCAATGTAAGAGGATCTAGTTACCCATATTGAAAGAGGAAGGTATTAAAATGAAAATACCAGTTTTTGTAAGAATAACATATAGAGGATACATAATTTATGTGTTTTAAATAACAAATATATAAAATCAGAATTTGGTGTCTATTGAAAGTAAACTAAATGCAAGACCAAATTCTTACCATGTCGGGATAGTATTATGAGGTTTTTCCTGGTTTTTTCCCTCATAATTTCCTTTGTAATTACTAACACGAGAATTTTACTGTCATTATGGTATGTATTTGTCTTTACATGCTATGATTTTTTTCTGACGGATATTCTTAAGTTAAAGTTGATTTCATTACAGTAAAGTTGTCCCAGTCAGATAAAATTAAATTATTAGAAGAATTATTCACCAAGTAACAAAAAAACAAAATTTCTTTAATTTACTATATTTGTATTTTGAGAACGATTTCCGAAGTGGAAATTGAAACATAAGTAAAAAGACTTTTACCTTTAATTGTGACTTATTTTCACTTAAATAGTAATTACTCCAAAAAAAAAAAATAGTTTTGGAACCAATTTACAATATTCCGTGAAGTGGTTAAAATGTTTCCAAAACCAAAGATTTTTCGTAGATTCAGTTTAGTATTTTTGCAGCTGTGTTTATGACATTTAAAGAAGAAGAATCATTAATAAAGAAAACATAGATATTCGCTTAATAAAAATCAAACATACACATAATATAAGCTTTTACGGATCAAAAAGAGAAAGATCTAAATTTCGTAGTTGCATGGCCTATACGGCGAGTAGTTAAATCTCATCGATAAAAGGGTGAATAAAACGATAATTACTCTCCGAGAGGGTAAACACTTCTGGGGCTGTCATAAAAGGCTAAATAGCCCCCATCAAAAAGCGATTGATTTTTAATGAGTTGAAAAGTTGTCATTGGTTGCAGAATTTTAAAGAGAAGGCATTTAAAAAGAAAGTAAAGAACCTTTGATATTATAAAGAGCTTTTAAAGTAAGCAGTGGAATAGTGCCTGGAAGTTTCCAAATAATAATTACCGGCTAAATTCTACAAACTAATTAGTAAAAAAGAAAACTTTTTTTTTATTTGCGTTATATGGGAAACAGTGATGATGGTGATACAAACTACTTAAATGTAGATTCAGAACATTAAAAAATACCATAAAATTCGACAAACTGCTTTTTTAAAGTCTTGTCATGTTGATTAATGCATTTACAAGTACTTTCGTAGAACTTTTTCCTCTTCAAATCCGGAATGTTTCTTCCACGTCTATTTTGATCCAGGCAGAAGGAAAACTCCAAAATTAAAATCCTCCAAGTCGGGCGTTGAGGTATCGGGCTAACTCCCCGTTACTGAGAAAACAAAATAAAATGTTAAAAAACCCAGCAAAACTCCTCGGAATGAATCGATCACAAACGACTACGTACGCTACGAAAAAGGAGTATGAATTTCGGAACTTGAAACGTGCAAGGTTTTAGACATCTTCTTCTTCTTCTCGTGCCACTCCTAGCCGAGATTGGAAATCATCATGGCCACTGCGACTTTGTTAGCAGCGCGCCTGAAAAGTTCAATCGAACTACACCCGAACCATTCATGTAGATTACGAAGCCACGATATTTTTCTTCTTCTCACACTTCTTTTGCCCTTAATTTTGCCCTGCATGATGTTTCTTAAAAGTTCGTACTTTTCACCTCTCACAATGTGCCCCAAGTACTCCATCTTTCTAGTTTTTATCTCATTTAGAATTTCGCATCTTTTGTCTAAAGTTTGGAGTACTTGCGTGTTAGTGACGCAGTCCATCCATGATATTCTGAAAATGCGCCTATAGCACCACATCTCGAAAGCTTCGATGTCTTTCCATTCGAAAACACCGCAGCATTCGTATTCGTAACTTTATATTGATATTACGATTGCAAAAGAGTTTGCGCATTCTATTAAAGACTGATCTAGCGATTTCTATTCTACATCTAATCTCTTTTGTTTGATCAGTATCGTCTGTGATCCAAGCACCTAGATATTTATAACAGGGCACACGCTCAATCGTTGTATTGTCTATTACAAGATTAGCTCTGATGTTCTTTGATTTCGTGATTACCATAAATTTAGATTTTTTCAAATTAATTTTCAAGCCGTAGTGTGCTTTAGACAAGTTAGTAGCCGTGTTTTAGACATAAAATAAATCAAATAATGTATGAAATGAGTAAGCTGAAATTAGACACCATAGTAATCACCGAAATAAAGCGAAAGGACCAAGAATCAGAAAATATAGGAGAATATGATCACTTCTACAGCGGGGTACCAAGGGAGAAAAGAGCTTAACAAGGTGTTGCCATATGAGTACGTAAGAAGCTAAGAAAATGCATAACCTTAGGAGGCCATAAACGAGAGAGATAAAAATGAACCTTACGATTAGAGGACACAAATGCACAATCTTGGGTGTATATGCAGTAAATGATGACATTGTCCCAAGATGATAAGAAATTATCATCTTGGGACAGTATCATCATAACGCAGTTATACGTCAATTCGGAGAGGACCACGTAAATGGTAATGGTACCAGACTAATATCATTATGTAAACAAAATGAAATAAAAATTTATTTCAACACAGAGACATACACAAATACACATGGACGCAAAATACGAGAGGGTCAAAATCAATCATAAACTACACAATCATACGACAAAAGATAAATATGATTGAACAAGATGTAAGAGTATTGAGAGGAGCTACCTGTGATGGCGATCATCACTTATTAAAAGCTAAGATCACATTTGGAGTAAATAAACCTAAAGAAAAAAAAATAAAAGGGAGAAAGTAATACAGAAGAAGTATAACCGAATCAGCTTAGAATAAGAAAGCGTGAGAGATACAGAAATAGATTAAATCAAAAGTTGGAAAATAAACAATTTAATACTAATGAAGAACCATATTGGTTTGACGAAGAAATAGAACAAGAAATAAAGAAGAACGGAGACCAATATAAAAAATTCTTAAATACAAAGAATAGATCGGATAAAATAATCTATCTAAAAGGAGTCTCAAGCTAAAGTACGAAAAATGATATGTCGGAAGAAAAATGAAGCATGGCAACAAAAGTGTAACATGATAAATTCACATCTAGGTGGAAAAAGAAGAACAGAAAGTTGG